CGCGCCGGTTCAGCGCTGCAGCATTGATAAGACCGAATTGTCTCCTTTTGATTGGTGGCGTGCTTTCGTTTTGATGCTTCTAAGCACGTGTTTGGTAGGTTCGTAGGTTTGCTCAGCGAATTTTGGTCCAGGTCTCTCCGTAAGCTTCAAAGGAGTGTCAGATTTCAGAGACAGACACAACAGTTGCACCAAATCAAGGTAGTTGTCTGCGCTAGACGGTTTGTGCGCGCTCTCGCCACAACTCAGCACTGCACAAGGACGCACAAGACCCGGTCGTTCGCCAGATCATTACCGATACTGGCTCCCATCCCGGCTGCGCTGTTTCCCATGACAACTTGCCCGAACAGAGCGGGGAACCTCACTCCGGTCCACGTCCGCCTCTCATCTGTCGAACGCCGCATCTCGCGAATACCACCCATGTGTTCCCCTGGAGACGGGGCCGCCTCTCCATGCCGGCAGAGACAGCTCTTGGTCTGCAAGCCCGACGGAGGTCGGAAATGTGACCGACACACGGCCAAAGCGCAGGGCAAACTTCCCCTGTTTGAGAGCGCTGGTCCAGAGCAGCTGTAAACGCTGACGTAGACAGGGTCTCGAACGGGATCCAGTTTGCTTCATTTCATACGGCGCTGAAAGTCAACGAAATCTGTAGAGCCGATCTAACTTCAGGGTCGAAAATGCCTTTGTCACGGCATCACGAAAGCACATCATGCAACCATACCGTCACTTCGCTACCCTTGCTGTCAAATGGAATCATATGAGGTATTTTCAGCATCTCTACCACAAGATATGTAGGATGGTGTAGTTACCGCTGATTGTTGGAGGACCCGCTGATGTCCGCGGGCCGCGAGGTCGAGCTCACTAGCCGCCCCATTGCTCCCCGCTGATGTCCGCGGGCCGCGAGGTCGAGCTCACTAACCACCCCATTGCTCCCCGCTGATGTCCGCGGGCCGCGAGGTCGAGCTCACTAGCCGCCCCATTGCTCCCCGCTGATGTCCGCGGGCCGCGAGGTCGAGCTCCACTAGCCGCCCACCATTGCTCCCCGCTGATGTCCGCGGGCCGCGAGGTCGAGCTCACTAACCACCCCATTGCTCCCCGCTGATGTCCGCGGGCTGCGGGGTCGAGCTCACTAGCCGCCCCATTGCTCCCCGCTGATGTCCGCGGGCCGCGAGGTCGAGCTCACTAGCCGCCCCATTGCTCCCCGCTGATGTCCGCGGGCCGCGAGGTCGAGCTCACTAGCCGCCCCATTGCTCCCCGCTGATGTCCGCGGGCCGCGAGGTCGAGCTCACTAACCACCCCATTGCTCCCCGCTGATGTCCGCGGGCCGCGAGGTCGAGCTCACTAGCCGCCCCATTGCTCCCCGCTGATGTCCGCGGGCCGCGAGGTCGAGCTCACTAGCTGCCCCATTGCTCCCCGCTGATGTCCGCGGGCTGCGGGGTCGAGCTCACTAGCCGCCCCATTGCTCCCCGCTGATGTCCGCGGGCCGCGAGGTCGAGCTCACTAGCCGCCCCATTGCTCCTCGCTGATGTCCGCGGGCCGTGAGGTCGAACTCATTAATTGCCTCATTGCTCCGCCACCACAGCTGCAAATGACGCCTTAAGTTACAAAGTAGCTGCGTCAGGATAACAAAACATAAAGAGACGCATATTTACATTAAACAACATATCAGTCGTATTAATTGACAACAACAGGCGTGAGCCACGGTGTGCCAACCGCATATAAATCAACCGCCACAATCGATATACAACCCCGATGCTAGTGGCCACAGATGCCACGTGAGTTGTAAAGTAACTTAGATCATTTTGGTTCAACCACGCACTATTGTCACCGCAGACATGCAACTTTTAGCGTGTACGTAACTGCCGGCGTCAACCGTGCAAAGCAAAACACTGAAGAATGCTAGGAATGCACTCACTCAGCTAATGACAAAGACTGTAGGACGAGAACAGAAAAGAACTGGAAGAACAGAGATCAGAAACTGACCACGACGCAAGGTTATTCGTGAGCAGCTATAACGCAGCCTTTCAGGAAGCGCCCGCACGTATGTGAACCACACGCGTATATCACAAAACACAGTATCGTGGGGAGCACGCACAGGCACGGCACAGCACAAACGCTTACGCGCGACCACCCTACAATGCTTTCGCGCGCACTCACTCACACACATATGAAGTGAGATGCGAAAGCTGGAACGCAAGTAAATACTCATGTATCTACATCCGCGGTACCAGGGCCTCGTTGGTTACGGGTCGGATATAGTACGTGTGACGGCTTCTCCTAGTCACATGCGCTTTGCAACCCAAAAACAACGTTTGCTTGACGAGTCGAAAACGGCAGCTAAAGAGGACGGCAATGCGGACACGGTTCTGGCGTGTCATGACATTGCATGACACATCAAAGACGCTTCAGCACTGCTGACAAAACCAGGAGCGAAATGCCAAGCTAATGTGAAGCCATTACGTTTGGAAAGGAAAGATCAATGGAGTTCGGCATGTGCTATGCACCTTGATGTCGACATGCTAGGAATTTGATCCCAAGCAACCTGAACTTGAATCATTAGCACATTTCAATTATTTTTACATACACATGTATACACAACATAAACAAATGCAAACCAAATCGAGGCGCTCATTTGCAAGCGAAGCTACCAGTTGGCGCCGGAGACGCTGCACAGGCACCAGAACGTTTTTCTCATTTTCGGCATTACGGTGCGAGGCAGCGACCCGCTCCCTCAAGCGGGGGTCCGGCTCGGGCCCGGCTCGAGCTCCGCTCGGGAAGCGCACGTGCCCCCAGGGACGTCTGCTGCGACCGACAGCCGACCGGCCGCACGCCGCGCTCGCCGGCCTTGTTTTGCCGCGGGCAACTTGCTGTGTAAATTGCACTGGCCCCGGCCCGACGAGCCCGGGGTATTGCCAATTTGAGGCGGAATTCATTCTGCTCTGGGCGGGCACCCCGGCCGGGACAGGCAGAAGGTCCGGCCGGCGGCGTCAGAAGGCTGGACGCGGGAGTGAAACCGACGGCCATGTGGGGGTGGTGGGTGCCCCGAGGAAGCGTTGGCGCTGGGCGTTTGCTGCACGTCGGCGTTTGCGGCGTTGTTGAGCGCCGCGCCACGAGGCGGACATTTGCGCTTTGTGCCTTACGTGTTTCGACATCGATCATGAACAGGGCCCAGGTAGAAAACGGCCGACGAAACGCCACTGAACGGCTGTTGAGACCATGTTGATTGGTAGCCCGCGATGTGGTTGTCGCCACAATATTGAGGCAAACAGTCATAAGTTTCTATCAAACCCATGTAATTCCTCGACTCTTGACAATCCAGTCCTCTGATGGCGCCGTCGAAGGAGCGAATGGGCGCTGCAAAACACTGTGAGACAGCATTTGTCTGAGGAATGGAAGGGGCTTGGCGTTAGGCAGGGCGCTGACGTCGTGGCTTGTCCACTTAGGCTGAGGGCGCCATCTCCGGACTTGGACCGCCTTAGGCTGAGGGTGCCATCTCCGGACTTGGACCGCCTTAGGCTGAGGGTGCCATCTCCGGACTCGGACCGCCTTAGGCTGAGGACGCCATCTCCGGACTTGGACCGCCTTAGGCTGAGGGCGCCATCTCCGGACTTGGACCGCCTTAAGCTGAGGGCGCCATCTCCGGACTCGGACCGCCTTAGGCTGAGGGTGCCATCTCCGGACTTGGACCGCCTTAGGCTGAGGGCGCCATCTCCGGACTCGGACCGCCTTAGGCTGAGGACGCCATCTCCGGACTTGGATCGCCTTAGGCTGAGGGCGCCATCTCCGGACTCGGACCGCCTTAGGCTGAGGGTGCCATCTCCGGACTTGGACCGCCTTAGGCTGAAGGTGCCATCTCCGGACTTGGACCGCCTTAGGCTGAGGACGCCATCTCCGGACTTGGGCTG